AGCCACTCTGACTTCAGTGACTTGTTACAAGTGTGGAGAAAAAGGACACATTAGAAGCAAGTGCACCCAGAAAGTGTGGTGCAGTCACTGCAAGAGCAACACACACAGAGTCCCCGTGCAGGAAAAAGGGAAAAGAAGACGGAGCCAGGAAGGTTGCAGAGGAAGAAGAGGAGGACAACGGCGACGAGGATCATTGCTTCATGGCCAAGCAGGCAAACAGCGAGAGGCCATCAGCCAACGTAAAGAAGAAAGGCATCATGGTGGACGCCGGAGCGACCATCCCACATAGTGAACGATATCGCGAAGTTCAAGAGCTTTGACAACACATTCCAGCCCGACACCCATTTAATCGAGCTTGCGGATGGGACCAAATGCAGCGGGATGGCACAACGCAGAGGGACGGCGCTGATCTACCTGCTAGACAACGATGGACGTCAACAAAGAGCACAGCTGCATGAGGCACTGTATATGCCGACGTGTCCACACGATATCTTCTCAGTGGCAAGAGCAACAAATGGAGGAGCGACAGTCACTTTCAAGAAGGGGAACACCCACATGATCACCAAGAGTGGTAACAACCGGTTTGACCTCCATGAAAGTGGTAATCTGTTTTACTTGCCAACTGTTCAGAAAAATGTTGATAAATGTAATGTGTGCCACGACATGCAAACTTGGCATGACATTTTGGGACATTGCAATTATGAGGATGTACAAAAGTTACTGGGTGTGGTAAAAGGCATGGAGATAAGAGGCAGTGCAGTCAGGCCAGCACGGCTGTGTGAAATTTGTACAAAAGGAAAATTCCCCCAGACAAGGAATAGGGAGCCAGACAGAAAGGGTACAGAACCTTTACAGCTGGTCCACACTGATTTAGCCGGTCCTATGAGAACCCCAAGCTTAGAAGGGCACAAATATGCACAGTCTTTTACAGACGACTATTCGGGTGCCATAACTGTTTATTTTCTCAAATCCAAAAGTGATGCAATACATGCCACAGAGAGGTTCTTGGCAGACTCAGCACCTTATGGAAAAGTAAAATGTTTACGTTCAGACAACGGTGGCGAATTTACTAATAGAGAATTCAAATCACTGTTAACCAAAAATAGGATTAGACATAAAACATCTGCACCCTATTCACCTCACCAAAACGGCACAGCAGAGAGAGGTTGGCGAACCCTCTATGAAATGGGCAGGTGTATGCTGTTAGACAGTAAGTTGCCAGACACACTGTGGAATTATGCTGTACAGACAGCAGCCTATGTAAGAAACAGGTGTTACAGTAATCGCACAAAGAAAACACCTTATGAGATGCTCACAGGCAAGAAGCCAGACATGTCCAAACTTCAGAAATGTGGATCTGTTTGTTTTGCCTACACACAAGAGAAGGGGAAGTTAGATTCCAGATGTGAGCAGGGCATTTTTATTGGATATGATGAGAACAGTCCAGCTTATCTTGTGTACTGTCCAGACACAGATAAGGTCCAAAAACACAGGTTGGTGAAATTCACAAACAAGACAGCCAAAGAGAAAGAAACACAGACACCTGGGTCACACATTGAATGTCAGGACAGAGAGGTACAGCCCAGGGTCCTTGACAATGAGGAAAATGTTGATGAAAAAATGGGAAATGCATCAGGTCAAAGTGTTCAAGGTGATGTTTCTGTGGCTGAATGTGAACAGCCACAACTGAGAGTGAGGCTAGAAAGAACCCACCTAGAGCTAGGAGAAAGCCAATGCACTTACAGGATTATGAGACTGAGGATACAGTAGACCAACTGGTAACATGTGTAGACTCTTGTTATAGAGCAGTTTGTGACATACCACAAAATTACCAGGAGGCCATAGGGTCAACTAAGTCACGGCAGTGGATCAATGCAATGAATGACGAAATGCAGTCACTAGAAGAGAATGACACATTCAAGATCACCCAGTTGCCTCTAGGCAAAAAGGCAGTGGGGTAGGTGGGTCTATACTCTCAAGTGTGATACTGATGGGTCAGACAAATATAAGGCAAGATTTGTTGCAAAAGGTTACAGCCAAAAACAAGGCATTGACTATGAGGAAACTTTCTCACCTACAGCTGACATGACAACTATTAGAGTTGTCATGCAAAAGGCAGTGCAGGAAGATTGAGTTTTACACCAAATGGATGTGAAAACTGCATACCTGCATGCACCCATTGATTGTGAGGTCTATTTGGAACAACCTGAAGGTTATGAGAAAAAGTAAAAAACTGGAGAAAAGTTAGTATGCAAATTACAGAAGTCCCTATATGGTCTAAAGCAGTCAGGCAGAAACTGGAATGCTCTGTTACATGCATATCTCACTGAAAATGGTTTTGAACAAAATCCTGCTGATCACTGTCAATACACAAGGGAAAAACAAAACGAAAAAGTGATTCTGATTGTATGGGTTGATGATCAGATAATTGCTGCTAACAATGAGGAGGTTGTGAAAAGTGTCAAAATGATGCTCACTGATAGGTTTAAAATGAAAGACCTGGGGAAATTAAACAATGTTCTTGGTATAGATTTTAACCAGTCAGAGGGTCAAGTCACAATGTCACAGGAAAGGTATGTGAACAAAATCCTCTCCAGATTTGGAATGCAAGATTGTAGGGCCAGAGAAACCCCATGTGAGTCCAAACTTGAATACACAGAAAATGCTGAAAAAATGGAAGAGCCCAGGATGTATAGAGAGGCAGTAGGAAGTCTGATCTATTTGGCTACATGCACTAGACCAGATTTAAGTTTTGTGGTCTGTAAACTTTCCCAGCATTTTGCTGAACCAAGTGAAGAGCATTGGAGCACTGTGAAGCATGTGTTCAGGTATCTTAAGGGTACAACAGACCGTGGATTATGCTTTAAAAAGGATGACGCAGGTAAACTGGGCCTAATAGTCCATAGTGATGCAGACTGGGCCTCAGAGGTTACAGACAGACGTAGCACCACAGGGTACTGTGCCAGTCTGAGTGAGAGAAGCTCTCTCATTTCATGGAAGAGGAGAAAACAACCAACAGTTGCACTGTCTACCTGCGAGGCAGAATACATGGCCTTAGCGTCAGCCATACAGGAGTGTATGTATTTACAACAGCTATCAAGGGTATTGATGAGTATCAATATGGGCAAACCAAGGTTTATGATGACAACCAAGGAGCTATTGCACTTGCCAGAAATCCAGTAAATCGGCAGCGGTGCAAACATATCGATATTAAATATCACTTTATCCGAGAAACTGTGAACAGTGGGAGGATATCTTTGGAATATTGTCCTACTGACAACATGGTAGCTGACCTAATGACAAAACCAGCCACTAAGCTACAACTGAAAAAGTTTGCTCAGTATTTGTTTGGCACTTAAAGTGCAAGAAATGTATATATGTGCCATTGTATTTTGTTGTTTATTTTGTATTGAAGGCCAAATGGGGAGAATATTTGTTTTGTTTGTATTCTGTTATGAAAATGTACCACAATAAGCTAGGATCGAGTGGGGGTGTTAAATGTTGTACCATTATTTGCGCCCTTGCTCATTGTGTCCTGCAGAGGGCAATGTTGTCTGCAGTGCGTCCAGGACGTGACGTCACTGACTATACCTTGCACTACCTGTGGCCTCTCAGATGTTGTTTGGATCGAATACAGAGCGGCAGCACAACCGCATCTCTCCTACCACGATATAAATAAATATGCCTAATGAAGGCTAAAGAAAGCTGTCTACTACTGAGTTCTATTAAATCTGCACCGCAACGCACTCCGCCTAACAGACCCCTGACTTAGGCTAAGGGGAACTGGGGATATGTATCAGCTGCTTGTGTGAGTCGGACAGTGAATACTTTAGAGCGGCCGCTGCAGTGTGAGCTAACGGGAGAATAAACTCCAGTGGAAGAGCAGCCAACACTGCAGCGGTTGGTAAATGGTGCAGAAACACATTAATAAACAATGAACCACGGCACTCTGGAGAAAAGTATAAGGTTGGAGAAGTCGTTATTTAATTTAATCTGGCTTCGTGTGATTAAAAGCAACACGATCATTGACCCGACGCAGTTCCCCGTTGTTGTTGTTGTTGTTGTTGTTGTGAGCGCCATAACGCCGTTGACGGTGACGTCATGACGCAGCAGCGGCAGCACCAGTCGGGCTCTGGGCGGTGTGAACAGAGCGGGAGCAGAAAAGGGAAACCGGAGCTGAACCAGAAAAGCTCCCGCTCGGAGCTAGAAAGGGAAAAGCGCTGGTGTGAAAGCCGCACATGTAGCATGTTTTTATCAACTCAAATATAAGAACAAAATGGCTCCCTCAAACTGCAGCACGGGTTGCCAGATGCATTTAGTGAGCACATGTGTTAGTGAAGGTCTATGTAACAGAATGATGGTACCAAACCTGGTGAAGACTCAGAAGTCGCTGTGTGAGAGATATCGTACACATACTTTTGCCCATAACCCAGTTGACTAATTAAGGGTATTATAAGATTTCCTGTGGACCCAGATTACCTTTGATTGACAGCCATACCTGATATATGAGCATGACATCACTGCATGGAGCCAAGGGATGAACAGCAGTAAATGGACCTTAAGGTCAGTTTGTATTACATTTCAGTTACCTCATGTGAATGTTATCACCATTGGGTTTTTTTTCCCTCTGGGCCTCCAAGTCCAAAGTCAAGTTCAGGTATGTTGAAGCTGGTAAAACAGTTTTAATTAAGCGGGGAGAAGCTCTTCAGAACGACTTGTCTACCAAATGTGATCAAGTTACATATAACAACAGCAATAAAGACTGGACAGGATATTAGCTACTTAAAATGTATGTCATGGGGGAGAAAAGGAAATACATTTGTCTGAGTCATGGCCCCTTTTTTCCGTCCCCCCGCTGTGGATGTTTGCTTATTGTGGGGGAAACAATCAGCAATTCTGGAAGCTTCCACAGGCCCCATTAAAAAATCATGAATCAATTTGTGCTTGTTCAAAATTTCAAACAGAGCTTTCATTAAAAATTCACCGGGACCTCTCTGTCTGTCGCTTGTAAATACATCATTGGTATTGCTGTGGCTGATGAGGGCTGCCTCAGAATGAGCCCAGCGCTTATGTGCTTGATCTCTGACATTGGTGTCAAGGGCAAAGTTGTCGACTTTGTTCACATAAGGTCTTCCCCGGAGATGTGTACTGTTGACAAAACAGAAACTTTTCAAAACACCATCAACCACTGCATTGCTTTGTACCTATTCTATACAGTTGTAGTTAAGCCCTTTAGCTCAAGCATCCTTTTATCATTTTTAATGGTAACAACCAGGTGTTAAAAATGAAGTGAGCTCTGTAAGATAAAAGCACTTTCTTACCTGCAAACTCTCACATCCTCTCTCTTTTCTGCGCGCACACACAACGTCCCTGCTTTCCCTGGTTTCCAAGGAAACCTGTGGTGAAGGAGCAGAGAATTCAAGGACGGGTATGTTTGCAAACGAGAGTTCCTCGGATCATATGTCTACTGAGCCGCTATCATCAGCCTCACCCTCCAACACATACTTTTATTCTCCGACACGGACGGTGTACCTTATTATGGAGAAATCTGAGGTATTTGAGACTAAACATGACCCATGATGCCACTTGCGTGTTGGCCTTCTTCGCCTTTGGTACATCTGCACACCATGCTGTGTTTGAATGTTTGTCCTTGTGAGTCTGTGTGTGAGTGTGTGCACCACGTGTTTGGCTTCATCACGAACAAGAATAGACACAAACACAGACACACTCCAATATGGTCCTTGATTAGCAGACCAGACTGTCCTGCCTTCCCTCTCGCTACGAAGCATGAAAAGCTGTCTTTACATAACACGAGGTACATGAACAGTCAACACATGATGTCTTCAACAAAACTCACACATCTGAATTGAACAGGTCATCGAGGACAATGTTTCTACATTTTCCAATGTTCTCACAGTGCGACTTTATCACTTTATCAGTGGGTAATAGGAACACAAAATCTCACTCTAAGCGCTCTGTGACTGCTGTTTTCATCTCGGAGCACAGGGAGGATCACATCTCTCTGATCGCTTGTCTACTGTCCCTCGCAGACGTGTGGGTGTCGACTTTGGTAGGTTACATTCAAAACCCTTTCAAAGGTTGTTAGTTGCTGAATCTAAACCGAAATCAGTACTGTAAGCAAAGGGACTGTGCACACTAACTTGTGGGATTCTTTTTTGTAAGAATATTTTCATGCAGTTTGTTAACATGAATATTTACATGAAATTTGCTTTACATATATACTGCATGGCTTCCTAATTGAACTATTTTATTTGAGCAATTACTCAATGATGAAGTGGAAGATGTTTATTGTAGTGCCAATACCACAGATATTGTACAAAGATAAGGACTGCAAAATGTTTTGTCATTCAGCAAAACAAATTTAGTTTTAGGGCCCAACCTTTACCATTTTAATGTATTTAACCTTATTGACTGCAATCATTATTATTAGGTAAAGCCATTGTAGCATCACTAACGGACGTCCACACGGCAGCGTCGCGTTGAAGTTTGCCGGTGGGCGTGTCTGGCGTGCGACCAACAACCAATCACATTAATCTCCCGCCCTGGACACACAAGCATGCAGTTTGCTAGACTCAGCTTGTACTGGCATATGATTTGATTGGCTGACGCTTCCGTCGACGCTTGAAAAGTTGAACTTTTCTCAACTTTGTGGAACCACAATGCAGTTCGGCAAAGCGTGACGTCACCCCATTCAAAGTGAATGGGAAGCGTCTCCGTTGAAGCACACGGCGCTGCCGTGTGGACGTAACTGTCAAAGTTAACCACTGCCTTGTGTACAGCTAAAAAGAGAGTGGATATTGAATTAATCAGGTAGCCAGAAACACCATTTAAAATGAATAGAGATTAGTCCGTGTTGGCAAAAATGAGCTATAATATAAATACAGTTAATATTTGTCAATATTTGTTTTCACCTTGTTCCACTAACCTTAAGGGACCAAAACAAATTAAAGGAATGCAGTTTTAAAGTACTAATACATTACATTTGAAAGTGTATGGATATATTCAAGAAACACAACAGAATCTGTGTAAGGTTTCAGCGTTAGAGTTCTGTTAGTTTATTGTTTTGTGTTTATTCTTGTGGCCTTGCATTTTATTTTGATGTTGACTCTGTTCTCTCTTTTCAGGTGTCTACACTTCCTGTCGTTGTGTGTCACCTGCCAGCTTGATTCTGGTCTCCTGCTCTTGATTGTTTTCACCTGTGCCCCATTAACCGTTGTGTGTATATGTAGCCCTGTTTCTCCTTTTGTCGGTTCGTCTTGTCTCTATACCAAGTCCATGTCTGTACTCCCTCGTGTAAACATTGAGCATACTAGTCGAACCTAGTGAACTATTGAGTATCCTAGTCAGTGCTGGAATTGGGCCGGTACTCACCGGTACGCAGTACCGGCACATCTGGTTCTGACCCATGGAGTACCGGCACTTCTTGCTCAGTACCGGCATGCTGACGGTACTCCGGTACTCATGCACCGTGCCAGTACTCAACACTCTCCCGCCGTTCTTATTATACATCCATATATATATATACAGCCGCCCGGTACTCAGTAGATGCGTCATGAGGTGCCGAACGGACATTCTCATCGCTCTAACCGCTGGAGTTTCACAGCGGCTGTCAGCTGTTTACTCCTGTCATTCAAACAGAACGTGCTGGAGAGGGGGCGGGGCTTATCTTCTCCATGTAAATACTGTGGTGGAAACGACTATGTCAAAATTAACCTATTTGACCGTGATTTAATAGTAATACACGTTTCAAATAATAATAATAATAATAATGCCGAAGTAACAACATACTGAAAACTGTTAGTAAAACCATGTTTTAATGCTTTACAATTTACATACCTAGATGCACGTGTGTTGTGTTTATGCAGTGCAACTCCCACCCAGTGGGTGGCTATGTAGAGTGATAGAACAGAGCAGGCACGCCCCCGAGAGAAGGAAAGCAAGTCACGTCACAAATTAGCATTTCTAAAATGTTAGCGTGGATTAATAAAAGTGCAAAAAGACAGCGGTTGTCGCCGGAAGAAACTTCAAATACAGAGAATGCTGTGCCTGTGTTGGAAATTGTGTCTGATGGGGAGCTTTCTTTGGTTGATCCTCCTGCTCCAAGTTCTAGTGCATTAGCATTAGCACTAGCTCCGCCGCCTCCTCCAGAGCCTCTAACGTTAGCTGCTGCTGGCGCAACTGCCACCACCAACACCGGGCAAAGCGATGCACCTGACTGCTGGACAACGGACCAGGTGCAATATTTTTGCAAGACCAATGCATGGCTCCTTCTTAAAGATAAGAAGCTAGGATGTCGGATATGCAGAGATGTCAAATCTTTGGGAATACACACTGGACAAGGACTGAAACTGTCAACTGAATGGGGTGAGTGTGCAGTGTCTCATTTCGGTGTTGACAAGGGCAAACAACAAGCTAGCCTGAGAAAAAAAATCAAAGAACATAAAGAATCACAAGCCCATGTAAAAGCTGCTGACATCCTTACATCTGCTTCACGTGAAACTATTCAACATCAAGTGCAGTCTATGCATAAATCTGAATTAGACACCACTATCAGAGTTTTTCGAACGGCATATAAAATTGGCAAACATAGCCGGCCATTCACAGACATGCCAATTGATTTGAATGTACAGAAACTGAATGGGCTGAACGTGGGCAGGGTTTTGCACTCCAATAAAACCTGTGGCGAAATCATCGACCACATAGCTCATGAGCTGAAAAAAAAAATGGCAAAAGACATTACAGAAAACCAAAGAAAACTCTGTGTTTTGGTTGATGAATCTACCACTATTAGTGGTAAAACGGTGCTTGTTGTGTGTCTACGCTCAGCATTAGCTGATGCTGAGCCCGAAACGTTTTTTTGGGAGCTGATCGAGTTGGATGGAACAACGGCTGATGACATCACAAAGGCGTTAATGGAGTGTCTTGGAAGAGATTTTAACGAGGACTTTTTAGGTCAGTGTTTCGTTTCTTTTGCATGTGATGGGGCTTCAGTCATGCTAGGGAAGAGAACAGGCGTTGCTACCCAGTTGTGTAGTAAATTCCCAAGCCTGTTTGTGTGGCACTGCTCCAATCATCGTCTAGAGCTGGCAGTTGGGGATGTGGTCAAGGAGGTCTCAGGGCTCAATCATTTCCAGATCTTTTTTGACAAACTCTATTCCTTGTTCCATGCCTCCCCCAAAAATCAGAGGCAGTTAGCGCAGTGTGCGCAAGCAGTCGGACAGCGTCTCCTGGTGATAGGGCGTGTTTTGTCCATCCGCTGGGTGGCTTCAAGTGAAAGGAGCGTCAGAGCAGTCTGGGAAAACTACCGAGTGCTTCATGATCACTTCACAAATGCTGCAAACGACACGAGCAGGGATTCCAGAGACAGAGCAAAGTACAAGGGCCTGGATGATGTGCTCACATCTGCAACGTTTGTCAGCAATCTGGGACTGATGTACGATGCGCTCACAGAGCTCAGCGACCTCTCTCGGCAACTCCAAAAAAGAGAGATGACACTGCCTACAGCAGATAGGCTCTTAACTCGAGAAATACGAGTTTTTGAATCCATGGTCACCATGCCTGGCCCACACATGACTACAGTTCATACAGCTCTAGCTGAGAAGTCCTTCAAGGGTGTTGCCCTGCGTGAGAATGGCAGGCTTGTACAGATTCATGCAGGTCAGTTTTTCCGCAGTATGGTAGAGAATCTGAGACACAGAATGACTTCCACAACCTCCTCTCATGTCAGCACAAGAGAAATCCCATTACATGGCCGGGAGGCCCGGGACAATCAGCTAATCCAGGACATGAAAGTTATCCATCCTGGAAGTTGGCCTGAAGAGGAGTTAGACGTACAGTATGGGGACGTAGAGGTGCTACGTTGTGCGAAGTGCTGAAAGTGGACAGAAGAGAGACTGTTCAGGGCTTTCGCGAATACAAGGAAACCAGGGCATCCCGTACACCTGCTGCCATGGAGCCTCTACTGAAAGCAGTCCGAACCATCGCTGTCTCCACTAGTGAGTGTGAGCGGGCATTCAGCTGCATGAACGATATCCTTACTGCAAAAAGGAATGCTCTCTCTGTCAGCCGACTGTCCAGCCTGGTTTTCATTAAATGTAATGGACCATCACTAGGACAGTTCAATCCGGAACAGTATGTGAGGTCCTGGCTGGCAAAGGGAAGGAGAAGTGCTGATGAAAGAGCCTGTCCAGCTCCAGCCCCTGATACTGATGTCCCCAAGGCCTTCTGGAGCCTTTTCTAACAATGTGAAGTATATTGCAAAGCAGCTCACCCAGTGAGAAGACTTTTGGCATAATGTGCCGATTTGTACAGATCCTGGAGATAGAAGGACTTCAGACCAACCAGGGAGTTATCTGATCAGCTTGGTGTTCAATGTAACTCTTTACCATGGCTCAGACTTTGTTACTTGCAGTTACAGTTTCTCATTTTAGATTGTGCAAATTTTGCATTTGTTTTTACTAGGGCCGGGACTCGATTAAAAAAATTAATCTAATTAATTAGAGGCTTTGTAATTAATTAATCGAAATTAATCGCATTTTTAATCGCATATACATATTTGACCTGAGAACAGTGAGAAGCAATTTTTTTTCACATGGATTTTAGTATACCATTAGGCGCATTCACACCGCAGTACTTTTCCCACAAAGGTTCATGAGAACTCTTTGAACCTGGGGGTGGATTAGGCAAATGAAGCCGCTGACGTCACTTCTTCTTCTTCTGCTTTGGGTTTACTGGCAGGCCGCAAATCACTTCACGGCGTATACTGCCGCCCAAAGTCCCCGGCCGGAAGTCCCCGGAGTTGGGGAAGGCTTCAGTAGAAGCTGCTGGGAGTCCCAGTAGCTTCTACTGAAGCCTTCCGAGTAAATCGCCAGAACGCCGACACCTCCTCATCTCCACCGCTCCCATGTTTTATTTTGTGTTGCCATAAGTTAGTCTCTCTGCGTTTCTGCGCTGGGCTAATGCTAATAATGCTAATGCGAGGATAATAAAATGGCGGCTTCACAAAACTTTTTGGGAGTTTTACGGGGCGTGGTTTGCAATCCGCCCAGCCAATCAGAAATATAGCTCTTTTCTCACAAGAGAGCCGTACGAAAGTCCCTGCTCTCTAGCAGCTCTCTGCTCTCTAGCAGGGACTTTCGTGGGGGTAAAAAGGTTCTCATGAACTAATTTTAGTACCGGCTCTTTTTGGTGTGAAAGCGATAAAAGAGGCTAACGTCCACGCTAGCTTCCACGCTAGCTGCTATATGTTTTGCATTGAGGTGATACTTGAGGCTTGATGTGCTGCGGTGATATGCGAATTCCGTTTTGCATAATTTGCACACAACCGTGCTCTTATCGACGCTTCCATCCGTCCGTTTTTTAAAACAACATTTCCCACTGTTGTTCACTGTGGTTTGTTGTTGTCTGAAGTCATGAACGTTAGTTGGTGCTCCAGTATAATCGGTACGCCTGAAACTCATCCAGTGAGAAACGTTCCGCGGTGCAAAAATAAGTGCGATTAAAATGCGTTAATTTTTTTAACGCGTTAATTTTTGTGTAATTAATTAATCTTAATTAACGCGTTAAAGTCCCGGCCCTAGTTTTTACATGTTCTTTGTTCATGCTCTTTATCATTTTTCTGAGTTGGAAAGTTAGATTGCATCATAGTTTACTTTATACATATTTGTATTCTTCAGTGGTGAAGTATATTGCAAAGCAGCTCAGCCATGTGAGAAGACTTTTGGCACTTTTTCGTTTTTCGTTTTCTGAGTTGGAAAGTTAGATTGCATTCAAAATGTACAGAAATACTTAATTTTGTTAAAGCTTTTTATAAAAAATGCTTCTGACCAGAGCTTTGTTTCCTTGTCATTAATGTTGAACACCACCAGAGGGGCTCTCACCTGAAAGGTCTCTGCTTCATGTGTCTTCAGCAGAAGATCTAGACTTTGATTGCTATATTTTCAGTTAATATTGACCTTACTGAGCTTTAGCCATATCCGCTGCCTATCATAAAAAATGTTAAGTACAGTGAACCTTTCTAAAATATACAGTAGTAAAGAGACAAACCCACCAGCATTATAGTAGCCAAATTCTTGTTTGTGGGCTGTATATATAAAATTGACTTGAAAAAGTTGCTGATTTTAGAGTACTGGCACCTTTTTCATTCCAATTCAAGCACTGATCCTAGTAGATCCTAGAAACCTTTTTCTTTGTAAAGTATTTTCGTCCTATTTGTTGAACCTAGCAAGCTTTTGAGTGTCTTAGTTGATCCTAAAACCTTTTTGTATATTAAAAGGTATTTTTTTAAATCAAGAAATAATCGTGCATCTGAGTCTTTGTGAGTCCTTCGTGTCAGAACGAACCGACCATACAAGATGGACTCAGCCGATTCCACGGCACTAAAGACGGCCGTGCAGACACAAAGAACACTCCATCAACATGAAGGGCAACAATAAATCAAGGGGTTCAGGACTTAAATGCCCGTCAGCACAACTTCCAGTCTACAGTGACAACCGAGATAAATCACCTGGCGGAGAAAATGCGTGACATACTTACGCACCTCGAGGCACGTCCTGCTGTTCCTGCGGCAGAGTTTTCCGTTCCAGCGGAGGTCGGGTTTGCTGAGATCCCCGTTCAAATACCCATGCCATCGTCTACAATCCGTCTCGCTTCGCCGGAGAAGTTCGGGCTAAATTTAACTGAACTCTCAAAAGAGCTAGGTGGCTAACACACCACGAGGTCCCGCAGCATGCAGGCAGCAACTAGCATGTAGCGTGTTGCTTCATTCACCGAGGAAAATTAAATAATAATGAAAACTCCCGCTTTCCAAAGCAGCTCCAACCTCCAACGACAGCCTCAGAGATTGGTCCACCGCCGCCCCGGTAAAACTCTCAATTTGCGCTGTTTTGTGCATATGATGATCAAAAGTGTCTCCATTCTTCCAGCGTGACGCTGCTCCCTCACACACACGTCTTCAACGGGCCCTCACTAACCTGAGTCAGGAGGCGGAACTTGGCGGATTTTAGTCCAACTGCAATCATGATTGCATTATGAACCAATGAGCTTTGTTAACCTTGTAACCTTGGTCTATCCAGTGGGTTACACCAGTCTTTAAGGCTATTCATGGATTCTATGAAAAACATTTTTGACCAGACATCACCCGGGAGAGTCAGCGAGAGCCCTGGTGAACATCAAACAACGGCAGAGGAGAGTGGCGGATTACGCGATCGAATTCCGGACCCTGGCAGCGGAGAGTGGATGAAACCCAGCGGCTCTTTTTGATGCGTTTCTGCATGGATTAGCGGATCCCATAAAGCAGGGGTCGGCAACAGGCGGACCGCGGTCCGGATCCGGACCCAGACGCCGACCTATACGGACCCGGAGCTATAATCAATACATTAATAGGGGATTTTTCGGTGCCTCCCGCTTTTTTAACGCTGATTTGGGTGACTTGCGTAATTCGTGGAGAACCGAAGAGTTTTCGTTTTGGGGGTGGGGGTCCGACTGACGGACAACTTCTCACTTCAAAAAAGAAGAAGAAATCTAGACCGCAAAAATAATTAAACAAGCGAGTACCTGTTTTTCCTGGCCAAGGACAGGTTCCTTGAACACAACACGAGCGTAACGTGTCTTCACGTGGTATATGTCTTGTCTGAAAGGAGTGCTGGGCACCGGAACGCCGCTCCAGCCCTTAAAATATTGCAATACCCATAAGGAGCCGTACACATGCCACAGTGTTTGCGTGGCTATGTCTTTAGTTGTAAGCACAGTGGCGATCTGTTGTTATTAGCATCTGGTTAGCTAGCTATGCTAACGATTTTAAAGAGCTTTTCTACAACCAAGTGGAAGAGAGCTATCTCCTGAGAGGCTCAAATAACCTCAGCTCAGTGAGGTTAAGGCACACCTTGATATGATCATTATAGTTATTAATGAGACTAAATGAAAAACAGGTATAAAATACTATATGACAGTAACAAAAAAGTTGTTAACAATAACAAGAATAGAGTTTAAAAGGGGAGTTATTTGTAAAATATCCAAAAAGAAAAATATGCTTACAGTTCTGTTTCATATGGGTGTTGAGAGATGTATCCATAGATCTCTTAATGTTGCTCTCAAAGTGTACTAGATTGATGCTTTTAACTTCAATATTTAAAAAAAAATCTTCCCGGGAGAGCATGCCCCCGGACCCCCCTAGAGGAGGTTAGGTCCCCCCCCCACTTAAATCATGTTCACATGGATAGGATACTAAATACATTTGCACACATCTTGTGTCCATATCTTTCTGTTTTGGTGGTCATGCCACACCGTGCACGTGCATGCATACGTGAGTCATGGTGAGATATCTGGATTAAGAGGTTGCTTTTTCTTTGCACAGCATGAAAGAAAGGCAAAATGAATGGGCTGTGATTTTAGTTTTTTTAAGCAAAGGTTGAGTTCAATAATTTGTACGACCCTCGGAGGATGTTGTAAAAATTGAAAGGAAAAAGGTTCCCCACCCCTGCTGTAAATAATAATAAAAACCCTTGATTTATAACTTAACATCTCTGTCTCCTATTGATCTGAGTATATTATAAAGAATAGCCAGTTAATTGAAGCATTATAGCACAGGCCTTTGTCAGATGGTATTACGCTGTTTTGTTTCTGCTTCGAATAGTTATCTCTTTTTTCACCATACCTGTGTTTGCATCATTGTAACCAATGAGCACCTGCATGTGTATGAGAATGGCCCTGACTCCATGTCAGCCCAGATTTACAAACTCCTGGCAGGACAAGCTCCAGCTCAATTCTCACACTGAATGAAAACAATTTTTATCTAAAATTAAGCACTTTTAAGATGCACACATTTTCAAAAGCTATTTTATTTATTGTCTCTATTTTATTTGTAAATGCAGCCGAGAGGAACATTACACATATCCACAGTATTTACTGTATATCTGTATAGTTCAATGTTAATTGACAATAAATATTGTTGTTTTTGAATTGTACTTTCTTTATTTGATTGGCAGTCAGTTGTTAATTACATGCAGACGTTGATAAAGCTACAGGTCACTTCAATATATATCACACTAATTCATGAAGCAAGTTAGACATTTTGATGTTCCGGACCTTTGCATGGGGACATTTTCTCTAACTGGACCTCGTTGAATTTTAGTTGAAGACCCCTGCCATAAAGGATCAGTTAGCTTCATTAGCGTTGCCTGAAGAATTGGACTCGCTCATCGCCATGACTATCCGGGTGGAACAACGTCTAGCAGAGACGTCGGGAGAGAGGAGAGAATGCAGCTTCCACTTCATTACATTACATTACATTGCATTTAGCTGACGCTTTTATCCAAAGCGACTTCACTGTTCAGACGGGAGTTACAGAGGGAACACTACGGTTGGCGGAGAAATACCCGGACTTCGTCTCCAGAGCGACCAGCGCCCCCTATCGCCGCGGAGGAACAGATTGTTGGAGCACCACCCAATGGCGGTGGTGGAAGGTTCACCTCTGCTCTGCGCGTCCCTTGATGACTGATGAGCTAGTCAAATTTACAAAAGAAGGAACTCAAAGCACCAGGATAGAGGTTAAACAATAATCTGTTTTTACTGGTAGAAAATAACAATACACAATACAGAACACTCTGCAACAGTACCAAATACAGAGTGCTCCGGGCTCAATTCCTACCACCGTGTGATATACGTACCACGACAGCCAGTCAGGAAAAGAGCCCTGAATGTAAGAATATCATAATATTTATACACACAAGTGGGGAGGGGTTGTATCGTTTGCTCCTCCCTAGCTATTTGTTATTGGTGATTTCACTTCTGGGCGAGCTAGCCAGTGAGTTGGCAGTTCTCCATTGGCCAGTTTCACTTCTGGGTGAGCCCAAGACAGTGAGCTGGTAGTTCTCCATTGGCCAGTCTCACTTCTGGGCGGGACCCTAGGCAATGAGTCAGCAGTTGTTAACTCCATCTGTTTTGCCCCCCTCTCCTTAGTGTGTGTGTGTGTGTGTGTGTGGTGTGTGTGTGTGTGTGTGTGGTGTGTGTGTGTGTGTGTGTGTGTGTGTGTGTGTGTGTGTGTGTGTGTGTGTGTGTGTGTGTGTGTGTGTGTGTGTGTGTGTGTGTGTGTGTGTGTGTGTGTGTGTGTGTGTGTGTGTGTGTGTGTGTGTGTGTGTGTGTGTGTGTGTGTGTGTGTGTTGTTGTGTGTGTTGTGGTCCCACAACAATGCTTTGGAGTCATGACAGAACGCACACCCATTCCCCTTTAATGCACACACATTTGTTTAAGCCAACTACTCCAAAATGTTGTGGCAATTTAGTACTCATAACATGAAAGAATAAAACAGATAGAAATTAATAAAACACAAACACAGGTATAATTGAGCAGTAATTATAGCCATGTTTTCCTCTCTGAAAGCTATGCTTGTATAGGTTTTAAACGTCCTTGTCTTATGACATCTTTTGGATTAGTTAACTAACAAAGGTTAACTGTTCCCATACCCTCAGGCCTTCTTTGAACTTCCTTCCACCTCGAAGTCAGCCCATTTAGAATGAATGCATCTATTGATAACTCAGAAGGACCATTGTCTCTCTAACTGTGTGACTCACATCATCTCATGGCTTCTTCAAATATCTGGAAACTGTAATTAAAGCATAGTTACATTCTGAGAAGGTCCAATAATTGACATAATATGTCCTCCTTCTATTAATTTAAGCTTTCCAGATCACACAGAAAACTCTTACAGACAACCTACGGAGTTCTGCCCCTGAAAGCCCAAAATGACTTTCTGAAAAATACTTTATCAACGGGTAATCATTCTACTCGAGGCAGAAATCACAGGCTGTACTGTACCTTACACAAATAGCCAAAAAAACACCTTCTGATTATTAACAAGTCAAGTGGAAGAAAAGACCATTTGCGCTAATCTACAACTTTCTGCTATAACATATTACTTTAATACTACAAGATGCAGCTCGGAAGAGCCAAACTCACCCGGAGGAGCGTCAGCGCCGTCTACGGGAGCGGCGGTGCTTCTACTGCGGCCAGCAGGGTCATGTTCTGGCAGCCTGTCCGGCAAAAGATCAGGCTCATCAGCGGGAAGAGGGACGCTGGTGAGCCGAGTAACTTCTTTCGACCCTCCCTCGAGAAAATTGATTCAGGTCCAAATCAATGATGTATTGAGAGATTTCCTGAATATATTCTGTTTTGTGTATCTCGATGATATTCTCATCTTTTCTCCTGATGAGAAAACCCATGTTAACCATGTTCACCTTGTTCTCCAGAGACTCCTTGAGAACAATTTGTTTGTGAAAGCCGAAAAATGTGAGTTTCATGTCAACTCAGTGTAATTTTTGGGCTTTGTGATCTCTCCAAACAAAATGGAAATGGACCCAGCTAAAGTCAGGGACGTGGCTAATTGGCCAACGCCAAACTCCAGGAAAAAAGTTCAGCAGTTCTTAGGGTTTGCTAACTTTTACAGACGTTTCATACGCAATTTCAGTGCCATTGTCTCTCCTCTCCATGCCCTTACCTCTCCCCATGTTCAGTTTGTGTGGACTTCACAGGCAGAGGACTCTTTCCAGACACTGGAGAAAAGGTTCACAACAGCTCCCATCCTGACTGTACCTGATACCAGCCGACAGTTTGTGGTAGAGGTAGACGCCTCCAACGATGGCGTTGGGGCTATATTGTCCCAGAGGTCAGCGGCGGACAATAAGCTTCATCCTTGTGCCTATCTCTCCCGAAAGCTGTCATCTGCTTAGAGGAACGTGGGAAATCGGGAGCTGTTGGCTGTGAAGATTGCTTTGGAGGAGTGGCGGCACTGGTTGGAGGGAGCGGAGCAGGATTTCCTGGTCTGGACGGATCACAAAAACCTGCAATACATCAGGAAGGTCAAACGTCTGAACTCTAGGCTGGCCAGATGGGCTTTATTCTTCAATAGATTTAGTTTCACTCTGTCATATCGACCTGGTTCACAGAACGGAAAGCCTGATGCACTCTCCAGAATGTATGATCCTGAGCCAGTCCCCAAGAGTCCAGAACCCATTCTGCGGCCAGACCGAGTGATAGGGAGTGTGACCTGGCCCATTGAAGTCAAGGTCAAACAAGCAAACAGC